TGCAGCTTGAGATCTCGCATGGAAGCTGAGGAGCCGAATTTGGTTTCAGTGTGCCTTTACAAGTCATTTTGCTTCATGAGTCAGTCTATGCTGCCACAAAGCACCCTGAAACAGACCCTGATTTCCCAAACAAGAGCCTAATGATAAATACATGCATTCTAATTCCCCTCACTATTCAGAAACATGGGGCAAAGGACAAATCAAGAGAAGAAATAACAGTGAATCTACATCATATCCCTTTCCTTATACATCTGTAGATGGAGGAAGCAGGTTAAGTACTTTACCTGTTCTCTTCATGAGACTTACTCTTGGCATATCTTTTTCCTTCTGGAAGGTACCTTCTTCACACTCTTCCCCTTTGTCCCATCTATGTGCTTGTTATAAAAGTGTTACACAAATAACTTGCATTTAACCCTTTTAACTCCATACAGGATAAGTACTTATTTTAACAGATGAAAAATTCTACAAGTTACTAGCACAGGTAGGATTAAGATCCCTGTGTTTAGATCAAATCTATGCTCACCTGCTGTGTTGGACTCTTTGTTATCTGGTTAGGTGGGAAGACTACGCAAAAACACAAACCATACAGGCATGAAAAGTTTACTATTTTAGTGTTTTCAGATTTTGAGTTTATTTTTGCTTAGAGACATGGATGAGAGGATCCTGAAAGATACAACATGTTGGGAAATCTGAGAGATCCAATATGCAAAGTGTAAGTTTTGTTGTTTCAAACAGGAAAAGCAAACTGCAGAAATAAACTGGAGAATGAGCCGACAGGCTCAACATTAGAAAGACCCTATTAGAGTGACATTTGGATCCCCAGCGTTCTATGTTGAAATTTTTACCTGGATGTTTCTCATTTCCTTTGATTTAATGAATCCTATATTTTATAGAAAAATTGATTACATGACAGTGTCTCTTGTTTGAGTTTTTTAAGTGATTGCTGAAAGCCTACATCATAAGAAACAAATACATGCTCAGGGAATGTAGAGAGGTGGGTTATTTAGTGCCCGAGTTCTTTTACGATATTGGCTTCATCCTTTTCTATTTCCTGGTCTCAGTGTGTTCTGCTATACCATATGAAAATAAGTATATTTCATCAATATTTTTAATCATAATTTTACTCTCTTACCTTTATACATAATACTTCAACCTGATTAGCTTCTCTCATGAACCCTGTTGGTCTCTCCTCTTCCCTCCTTGAATGTACAGCTTGCCTCTGGCTAGTTAGTTTTCCTGACATCATCTGTCCAGTAAAGCCTTTCTTTTGTAATTTATAGAGACTTCATCGACAGATTTGGGATTGAGAGTAGGTGCTATTGAAAATTTCATAAGTAAAACACACAATCTGCGAGTCTGTGTCAGTAGGTGGAGGCCATTTCTTAAATTAGGGTTTTGGGGACAGATTTCTGAGGTGTTCTTAGCTTGGAACTGACCATGATGACAAATTGATGTGACAGAAATCTACAAACACAGCATATACATTTTCTTTTGTTTTATTCTTCTGGCGAGCTGTATTGCTTTGCTTGCACACTGATAAATATAAAACTGTCTGTTCTTCATCCCTTGTAAGTCTTAGGTTTAAAATGTATGCATTTATATTCTGAAATTTACCTATAGGTTTCCTTTGGACCTTAACATTATATGAATGGGGATATATATCTCTCGGAAAAAGATATAGTGTTCAGTTTAATATAGTGTAAATAATATGTGACACATGAAAGTCTAGAAGGCAATATTTAATATCCACACTGTATTACTAGTATTAATACACATATAACTAAAAAATTTAAGTAGTTATTGGGTTATATTTTTCATTTATATATAAATTGTCTAAAATCCTCCCTCTTTCTCTTCATTGTACTATGACTGATATTTTTGTAATGTTAGAGAATGCTGAGCCACTTGTGGAGGAGAGCAAGGAGTATAAACCTGATGGGGGACAAAAAGCAGAGCAGATCAGGACATGCAGAGTCACAGATTTTGACATTCCCCAAATGCTATTACTCAGTGCTCACTGAGGAAAGGCGGATGTTGAGGACAGAGAGAAAAGCCTAGATACGGGTTATGTTTTTATTTAAAACTCAATTTCATTTCAAACTCAAAGAGCCTAGGCTAATTCAGTCATTACATAAGTGTGTTTTGAGCAGTGGAAATGTGATGTGTTTTGGACACGTCTCTAAATATTCCCTGACCTCACGGATGCCATACCACTGTAGGGCTCTCCTGTTTAGCCCTTGTCTGCCCCTCAGTGACACTTCAACTTTCACCCTTTTAAACCCCCACTCCAGAGAAAAGGCAAAACAAAAACAAAAACAAAAAATCCCCTCCCAAACCAATAGATCCCTCCCACTTCTCTTTTATAAAAGTATTTTCAGGAGCATCATGGAAAAACAGTTACATTTTCTCATTTAATCAGTAAGAGGAACAGATCAATAGGATTTAAATTCATGTCAGTACTAACATTTGGACAAATGTGTGCAGACTATTGAAAGCAATTCCATCTCTTAATTTTGAAGGGTATTCTTCCCTCTTTCCGATGGGATAAACCATAAACTGATGAACCTGAGGCTATGGTGTTGCAGTTAGGACAAATTCAACCTTGCTCCTCACAAGCTTTTGCTTATGGAAGAAGGGGCATCAAGTGTGGGGCAAGTAAGGATCAATGGCATTCCACTCTAGAAAATAACAGAAGGGCAGAGGGGCCAGGCTACTCTAGTGGCTAAATGGGGTGGGGTTAGAAAACTTATCCTTATTGACCCTGATTTATTTAAGCACAGTGGAAAGGTTTGTGTCACCAGCATTGGGAAGTGGGACAAGTTCCAAGTATACAGGGAAATCAGGTCAAATTTCAGATGGACAAACATGGAAAGACAGATGATAGATAAATAGATGATAACTAGGTGATTGGTACATAATGATATATTTATAAGTATATATATATGTACAAATACTAGATGGTAGATTATAGGTAGATAGGTAGTAAATGATAGGCTGTAGGTAGATTGATATATGGTAGATAAGTGGATAGACAGATGATCGTAGGTAGGCGATAAAACATCAATGATAGATTAAAGATAGATAGATGATATATAAATAGTTAATATGTAGATAGATGATAGAAATGTAGATAGATGGGCAGATAGTTGACAACTTGTTGATAAATAAAACTATGGGTTTTGAGACATATTCAATGGTGCTAAATGTATATAACATAACTTCATGTTGGGTGTGCTTCTTGACACAGTTCTATGGTTTAGCATTTCAACAAACAGAATTGACCAGATATAAGTGAAAACCTGAGTGTTTGCTTATAAAAAATGTTTTTATGAATAAGGGAATAGTATGTTAAGAAATACAGTCTTATTCTATGTAGAACATGGGTACATGAACGTATTGTTGAAATGATCAAGAACGGGAATTAACATTAAGATCTATGTCTTTCTCCCACGTTTTAAAGAGGTGGCCAAGATGATTTTTATTTTTTTTAATAGCAAAATTAAGTTGCACATGCAGATGGCAAAGGAATTGCTGATTTTATCTCTATCTGAAAGAACAATGAGACATCTTTTTTTAAATAGAAATTTATTTGTAAAACACTGTGTAATGTGTAACAATGTACTTTAACCCAGTCTTTATACTTGATTTTCTTCATACAGTAACACAATATTTAAGGAAGAACATGTGTTGGAGAAATCAGAAAAGCAATGGATGTCCTGATAATTTCTCAAACTATAGACAACGTCCACCCACATCCTCCGTACATGTGCTTAACTTACCAAAAACTTAAACTAGACTTCAGTGAAAAAAAAAAAAAAGTAAATGGAATCAACTAATGCTAGAACAAGAGAGAAATACAACAACAAATTCATGTTATTATCCTCAACTGTGGAGAAACTTTCTCTATGAAACAGAGTTCTGGATTCTATTGAACTTACCCCTCAGACGCACCACTGTGGTATTTATAGGCACAGGAGGCATCTGCCCTGAGAATAGATTCTTAGCACATTCTGCCTATTTCACCCGTGAAATGAAGTAGTCCGTGTGCCCTACTTACTGTGTAAAGTGCAAGTAACCAACAAAGCAGAGCAAGAGATAAAAGAAGGCCCACGAAAGGGAGAAAGACAATGGCTTCCTTCACAAATCAACAGTCAACAATTTCTTTCTCTGTGATACATAAATGTTACTAACTGCGTTTTGATTGTAGCTACAGTTCTGTGATACATAAATGTTACTAACTGCGTTTTGATTGTAGCTACAGTGACTGTTAGGAAGAACCACAGAGGGCAAATGGCATGTTTTGGCATCACTGCTGGCAGTGGGGACTTCAAGGCAAGCCTTTTCCTTTACTTAAAGAAGGTCCTTTGGGCGGCTATTCAAGTTGGAGTTCTGTGACAGCTCTCAGGGCTTTCAGCCAAGGAGAAGAACGAAGATAGAGACTCAGGACACTAGGCGCTGATGGTCACTGAGGGACCAATACTCTGCCACACTGATTGCTTTTGCTTCTTAACTTTCATATCTACAAGATTTCTGAAGTCATGATTCACAACAGCACTTGACACTATCTGCTGCTTAGGTTGGTTCACTGGGAGCTGAAGTTTTTCTTTTTTTCTTTTTTTTTACCTTATTGAAAGCTGGTGTGAAGAGCAAAAGCAAAAGGAACTTCCTATGCTCTTCCAGGAAAACCAGCCCCAAATTTCCTTATATACACTTACACGTCAATACCATCTATGTTTACTCTTTTTAAGATTAAACATACCTAGACATTTCCCCTGTTTTAATCATGAGTCAGGATTTTATAGGCTGTTCAAAATCTTGTGAATGTAATGATTCAATGGATCCATATTTATTTAGCCTGAGTTTTAGTGCTGTCTCTTTTCTCCAAATACACCAACCAAATATTTGATTTGGTTGTTCCACATCAAGGCTGCTCATCTTTATCTCACCCCAGGAATAGATTAGCCTTGTGATCATTTGTATCAAAACCATCTTGCAAGTGCTGAAATAGGCATGCCCTCTGGGTTTTAATAGCTGCATATTGTCTTAAAAAACGTTATCTTGGAAATACAATATTTTCCATCATATTAGGACATTAGTCTTGAGCCAAAAAGCTATCTTCAGAATTATGCTCATAGTTCATAAAAGTGGTCACAGAAATTTTCTGAGAGCTATACAGCTTTTTCTGAAATGCTCATCTCTCACCCCCATCTCAAGTTTATTATCTTTTCAATAGCAATAACCAAAACATAAAACATTACAAACTTCCCTACTAAGGTATAAGAAACTGTGGCCCAAAATAAGAAAAAGAATGTGAAAGAAACATCAACGAATAAGTTTTACAGCCAGAAGCTAAAGGTAGAAAAAAAATACACAAAGCTGTATGCACAAAGAATACCAAGGGAGGCTAGTAAACACTACCATGGAATGTCATGAAAATACTAAATTATAGTCAGTGATCAATAACTGAGCTAACAGAGAAATATGCATGTTTAATTTGAGAGTTATGCAAAATACTTGATGTCTCAGACAATTGCTTTGGTGCTTGAATGAATAAGACCTACAGTACATCATTGCTTCACAAACTTCAATATGCATACAAACCATCTTAGATATTGTGAAAATGTACATTCTTGTTGCTAAGCCTGCAAGTGTGTGCATGACTCTGTACTTCTAATATTACAATTAATGCTGATGGGTTTTCTAAGGGTACAAAAAGGAATTAATTCCCAATAACATGAGATGTTAGGACATGATTCCAAATATGTTCAGAAATCTGAAATAAAGACATACTAGTCACAGATATAGGCAAGTTTGTGAATATAATTCCTTTATCTTGTAAATATGAAAAAAATATCTTAAAAACTTTTAAAAATGTGAATCATATAAGGGCAATAAATAATAATGCACTATTTGGTTCTTCAACCACATAATAAGCATGTCTGAGAGAATTTAATTGAAATATGAACTTGGTCAATACAGTGGAAAATTTGAAGTGAACTATATCACATTAAGACATACTCAATAAAATTCTGAATCCCTTTATATAGTTGCAGAATATGCAACACACAAGGTGATTTTTAAAGGACATTTTGTTCAGCTTCTATTATTGGTAAGACACTGTGCTTTGTTCAGAGGTGGGAAGTGAAGACTGTGTTCTTTGATAAGACAGATATGCAGATAAAAAACAATCATTTTTCTGGCTCTGGACCATAGCACATAAATACATGCATTAAAATTACCTATAAATAAACCAGAGCTGGGAGAAGTTAAATGCACCAGTGCAATGAAGCTGTGGAGCTGCAGTCTATTTAGGCTGCATTGTATATATCCATGACCCTGACTCATCCTTCTATGCTGGAATTCAAGTCTGTATAGGCATTTCATACATTGTATACATTCATCGCCCTGACACATCCTTCTATGCTGGGTTTATAAAAGAGTCATGTCTAGTCACATTGAGACTTCTCTGCCTTGCCATGTCATCCACTAAACCTGGGTTCTAGAAGCATTATTGCCTATTTGATCTTCTCTACTCCTCAGTAAGCTTTAGCTGAGAGTGAGGTTTAGATGTTGCTCCAAATAGTTATTTTGAATTTCAAGTGGTTAAATTATTTGCTACATTTGGAATGGATAGAGTGTGTGCAGACACCTGTGGGTGTGCACCATGGAAAACAGCAAGTTATTATATTTATTTATTTAACTTTATTATTTATTTAACTTTAAAGCTTTGACCTCAAGTGTTCTTCCTAAGGCCAAAAAATATTCCTTCAAAACCTTTAAAATTTCATTGTGGTTAATAAGTAAAGTAACTTCAGGATTAAAAATAGCTTACAAGTGACTCCCACATGTCCTGTTGCTTTGCAGGTCCAATTTTTTTTTCATTTATAAAGTCAGCTCTGTACAGACAGTATCTGTATAAATCTCATACCTATAAAAATCCCTCATCCCATAGAAAATAAAATTATGTGTGCTGAAAATCTAGAAATGGAGTACAATCTATGTTAACCCAAATTTAAATGATTTTTTTACTGTTTACTACTTGTTTATTACAATGAAAACTAATTCAGGATCCAACAAATAGCTGAACTTCTAAGTGATATGTTATTGAGCAAATTGAATCTGTCCATAAAGGTTTTCTGGGGCTAACAATTAATTGGTACAAATGTCATCTCTCTCTCTCTCTTTTAGTGTAAAGCAGATTGTTCAAAATGTTAGCTTGTGCACGTGTTATAAACCCCATATGTTGATTTTTGTGACAATAAAAAGCACAGTTCATTAAAAACAAGTAAAAACCAAGTTATTATTTTTTTATTGGTCAGAGTTTTGTCATTGGTATATGGAGGCTGTTCCATGGGCCCATCCAGAGCTCCTCCTCATCTGATGGTGTATTGTCACCGTGGAATTCCATCGCCTCTCCGGAGAGCCTACTGTCTACCGTGGACTCCTGCGCAGCTGTATTTTTCAGCCTGTATTTTTCAGTCCCCGATGGCGTCCCTGCCGAGTGCTCAGCCACCACAGGGCACGGGGCAAATGTGACCAGAGTTGGTGTTCTTTTCACTTTCTCCGCGGAAAACGGCCCCTTGAACAGCGTGTTCAGGGGCACATTCTCCTCACGGGTCACTGCCAACTTGTCTAACTTCTTCAAATGCCTCCCCAGCTGCACAGGGGAGGGGACCTTCAAGTTATCAGCGAGGCAGGCACGGCGTGTTCTCACCACAGAGCCATTCTGTGCGATGTAGATGTTGCCGTTGACATGGCTGTGCCCACCGGGCTTGTGAGGACAGCTTCTCTGACACTCAGGAGCACTGTCTTCTCCAGCGGAACTGCTTTCATACTCTCGATCGACCACTAACTTGATCATTCTTCTTCTTGCCCACTGGGGGGGAAAAATAAAGAATAACAACACACAAGTCATTCTCAAGGGAAATCGAAGGTCTGTGCAATCCACAGCAATTCCTGGAAAAGTAGAAAGTAAATTCTCCAGAGGGAGGAGGGACCTTTCCACCTCCCTTTCTTATCTCCAATTCCGTATTGGATTCAGAGTTTAAACATCCTTGAATAAAGTGTTGCTGAGTTTGGAAGCAGACCTACTAGGAAACATTTTCTTTTTACATCAAAATCCAGTGAGATGTGAAAAGAAAAGCTTATTAACCGTAGTTAGCTAAGTTCCAAAGCATTGTTTTACAGCTTGCTCAAATATTCAGGGAGTTAAGCAGAAAGCCAGGAACAGAATTTATACATTGTATCCATTTTTTAATGCATTTCTTTTCAGTATTTTAAAAATATTTCTGAATGTACATCACTCTAGTTTGTAATTCACTTCCTCATGTTAGTGAAATGTTGGTACATTTAACGTGTGTCATGAGTTGAAGCATCATGGTGTTCTAGGTCATCTCACTTAGACTCCACTTACTTAAAGGAACTATCTGTCCAACATGAATGTGTATTACTACACAAAATAGAAACTCTACTTGTATAAGCAACTGGAATACAATGGATAGTTTCACTGACTCAGTTGTCTTTTACCAACCAACATCAGAAGTGATGAGGTGTGAAACATAAGGAATGCTGTGTGTTTCTCCAAACAGTATGGCACTTTGGGGGACTGTGAATGCTCTCTCTGCGCTGAATAGGCCATGTGTATTTTAAATAATGGTGTTTGTTTGCCCAGAAGAGAAGCTGTAACTGGTACAATATATTTTAAATACAACCTAAATGGTAATCACTTTTAACTTTCAAAATATGGTTTCATTTAAGTCCTAGAATTTGAAGGTGGGAGTTGATGCACGGTATCCTTGATACGGCACCCTTTCAGTGAGCAGAAATGTGTAGAAACAATTACTCATATAACTTGTTGTTGTTTGTCTAGTATCTATTCTGCAAAGACTACATATTTATCACATATATAAGTATCTTTTGTAGTTATAGACAACTGTCACTGATCATGTCACTTTATAGTCAGTACGGATGTTTCCCTGTTTGATGGTATAGGAGACGGTAGTACGTTTTGATCTAATGTATTTCCCCATGCACATCTATGTAGGTAGCACATGTAATCATTTTTTATGACTTCCTTCTGATCTTGAGTCAGAGTGAAATCATTCTAATGTCAGGAATCACTGCAGAGAACACACAGAAGGCACTGCACACAGGAGCACACACCACCGCAAATCCCACCTACTAGGAACTCTTCTAAAGGGCTGTGTTGTAACCTTCGGAGTTTGCCCCTGGAGACTTCTTTGGGTCCGCATCCTTCCTTCTGTCATAATCAGGCACCTGGAAGCCCCAGGGGCCTCCAGAGAGACTTTCACTAGTACTGCTGCTGCTGCTCAGTTCTGATTCTGCCTCACTTTCCACACTTCTCTCCACGGAGGCTGATTCTGCACTGCCCTCCTCAGGGACGTCTTGAGCCTCCAGGTCTGCGGACTCATCCGTGGGAGCTGGCTCCCCCTCTTCCCCTTCCTCCGGCTGTTCTTCTTCCTCCACCGGAGGCTCTTCCTCCTGCTCTTCCGGTGGCTCCTCTCTCTTGCCCTTCACTTCCTGGACTTCCTCTACCACAGGCCTTCTTCTAGCCAGCACGATGTTTTTTCTGGCTTTCTCTCCTTCTGACTCAGTGGACTCCGATTCCTCCGACTCAGGGGTGGAGCTCTCCTCCTCTTCCTCAGACGGGGTCTCGGACTCAGATTCTTCCGTGGTCTCGGACTCGCTGAACTCGGACTCGGTTTCTGTGTATTCTGTGTAGTCGCTGGACTCCTCCTCAGATTCCACGGTGCTTTCTGTCGCTTCCTCCTGGTCTAGAGTTAGCTGGAGGTAGTCTTTGTCCTCTTCCTCAAGGCGCCTTCTCCACTCCTCACCCTCGAGGTCAATGCCTCTTTTCTCAGCGAGACCTCTGACTTTCTTGAAAATCATGGGGAAAATCCTGGCTCTCTTCCACGTTGGGTATGTGGGCTCAGCGGCTGGTGGCTTCTCAACGGTGACCACTACCTCTTCCTCACTAGGTTCTCTAATTTCAACTTTGGGTTTTTTAACCTTTTCTGGCTCTTCCTGAAAGTTTTGAGAGTGCAATTCAAATGTTAGACGCAATTCTGATGTTAGCTTGAGGATAGTTATGTCGTGATCTTGTCCCTCATAAGTTAAGTGGGAACTCATAGTTTGGGTAATAGCCTCATGCAAGCTATGCAAATAGGTCCCCCAAAACAAGGACAACATTCTTTTCTGATGATAGAGAGAAGCTGGCTGGCAGACAATAAGTTATTTTATTTTGGCTTTCTGGTATTAATATCCAAATCTAATGGTCTTTCTTTTCTGTTATTCATAGTTTCATTAAAAAAAATTCTTGCCGGGCGGTGGTGGCGCACGCCTTTAATCCCAGCACTCGGGAGGCAGAGCCAGGCGGATCTCTGTGAGTTCGAGGCCAGCCTGGTCTCCAAAGCGAGTTCCAGGAAAGGCGCAAAGCTACACAGAGAAACCCTGTCTCGAAAAACCAAAAAAAAAAAAAAAAAAAAAAAACCAAAAAAAAAAAACAAAACTTATACCAAGAAAGAAATAATCATTGCCATTTCCCACTCTAAATCTAGAGTTTTGGCTTGTTAGCTTTCTGCTGTGTTTCAGAATTTTTAAAATTCATGTAAATACATTAGGCAATTTGAAAGTTTATGAAAAAAATCTGTCTTGCTGAATTTTGAACCAATTAGACCTGCAGTAACAACCATTTCATGGAAAGAAAAGGTTGTTTGCAAAATAAATATAGCAGGCAAGGTATAAGAATTTGAAAGAAATGATTCATGTTAACTTAGAAATGAATCACATAATATTTAAAAAATACTGGTCAAGGTATTTTATTCTCTGATAATTGAAATACAAAGGCTGTATGATTTTTAGTTAAGCAGATAGTATAAGAACAAAAGTAACCAGGTATTATATAATTTTTTATTATATTTGGTTCTTAATCCTGTCTTTATAGAAAGACATTCATGATTTTAGAAAGCATATTTATTATAACTTCTTTCAGTTGTTTAAACTTGTATATAGAAGGAAATAACCTGAAAAAAGTTAAGGAATGTCCCTCCATAGATAAGAGAATGAAATAAGAGCACTGTGACATTTTTTTGAAAAGCGAATACTGAATCATTAGGACTTCTCAAAATTGGAATATTGGGCAGCATGTTAGTCAAACCGGATCAACAATACTGTTAGCGCATTGCTACTTTACTCAACAAAGTCTCGACAATTACCTCTTCCTCTTCATATTCCTCCTCAGCTTCTGCCATCACCTCACCATACTCCTCCTGTCCAGCAGGTGGGAGCAGTCGGCGGCGACTTCCATACTGGGGCATTTCATACCTGCAACATAAACTTGTAACTTGAGACATTTTTCAAATGTGTGTAGAATCTACCATAATGACCTCTCCTTTCTTCGTTTTCTTCATCATTTCATCAACAGATACTTAGACAGGATCTATTAAATACCTTCTAAAAATGAAACAAACAAAACAAAACTACACGTTAAGAACCACTACCTGATGGCCAGAGCGGTTTTTTTTTTGTTTTTGTTTTTTTCCCATAAACCCTTATGAATACCCTGGAATAACAAGGAAGAGAGTTGTTATTTCACATGTAAATTTGAGGAGAGACGAGCAGTAGGAAAAAGAAAGATATAATACTTCGCCACTAAATGAAGAACCAAGGACACCAGGGAGAGTCTACATACAAGTATGTATCTCACCAAGGATGTAAAAATCTGTGTCTTTACATGAAAGTTTGCATGGAATATGGCCTGTGGGGGTATTTTTCTTCTTCAGTAGTTTTTGTAGGTAGTTGGCTTAAGTGTGCAGAATTAACTCTACATTTTCATACTTGCTATTAGATTCTTAAGTATATTTTCTGTTTTTATTTTTATTTTTTCACTGCTCTGGCACAAAACGTCAGGTAGACTGGTTAGGTAAATTGCCAAACACAGCATACAGAATAAATGGTGAATCCAGGAATTGAGCAAACATGTTTGACTTCTATATTCCATTTTAATTACTATGAACCTTCTTAGCACATTTCTAGAAATACAAGCAGCATAAATGAAAAAGCAAAATGGTGAGAACTTGACTAACATAAAAATCAGATACACTATTCATTTTCAAATGTAAAATGGGGGCAATGACATTTTAAAAATAAATTCTATTAGTAATAATAACTTCCAATTACATTTAAAAATAATACAATACAATTCCGTATGAAAAACTGAAGATGTACCCATGCTCATAACTGTAATAATCTTGTCCATATTCCTGGCCAGGATCAATCCCAGATTCCATGGATAAATCCTATTATTCAAAAAGAGAAATTTGCAATTTTTAAATAAATTCTTTACATATTTTAGTTTTAAGTGAGATTTCCATACCAACAGTTCATGTCTCTCCAAACACGCCTGCCAAAATAAGTTTAATGACAAGTGTCGTTGAACACATTCCTGTTCTCACAGTTTCAGCTCTTGTCATGGAATACATTTATCATTAGTGTGTGAATGGGAGAGCTCAGTTTTCCTGATGGTAAAACTGGAGCATTTTCAGGTGGGTAGTTTTACTTGCTTTTAAGTAGCTTTTAAGATTAAAGTAATCAATATTAAACTACATTGTAACTTATTAAGTGCCTTATGCAGCCAGGAAAACTATTCCAATAACTTTACTTGTTCTGTCTTCCTAACAATGGTTCTCTGTTACCAAGTGCTCCCTCATCAAACATTTTACATCATCCAATAGTAATTCATACATTAATAAGAACTTCAGCTTAATGCTGATTCTGGGGTTAAAGACCTGTGCTTTCAGATCTTACTAAGGTTTCTCCTGACTCTTGATAATACCCACTTTTCTCAAATTCTTCTCTTTTGCTCTGCTTTGAGGTATATACACAAAAGCAATTTCAGTAGCTATTAAATTAATTTCCACACATTTCCATTTTAATTCCATTATATTAATGATAAATGGCAAAACTTAAGAAGATTAAATTTCCAATGGAGTAAGATAGGAGGACGGGAGAAGTTGTAACTCTCCACAGGAAAGTGGGTTGGTATATATAGATAAGCCACTATTGATAGGAATTGGTTCTGTTAATAGGTACATAGCATGAATCAGGAGCTACAGCCCTTCAGTGAAGGCAAAGAGGAATCATTTATAAGGCACACAAATCCATAACCTATGTGATAAATATGGACAATAACTTTTAATTATGCCACAACTTGCCAAATCATTTAAAAGAATTAATTGTGATTAACCTCAACCAAAGAATTCTACCAAAAATCTGGGATTTGGGTTTTTCTTGAAAAACAAAGGCATGGCATTATCACATACTCCAAGAATCTTGTTGGTGTTTCCTGCCTTCCATGAGGTCTGGTTCCTACTCATTAACTCCACTGCTCCACATCCATACTCAGCATCACCCTGCAATCTGCCCCCTGCCTTGCTCTCACTTTATGACGGCTGTTGATGTGTACATTCCCAGCCAAGTTCCTGTCGTTACTAGGCCCACAACTGCCCTTCTACAATAATGCCAAATGACTTCTTAACTTACAAATACTTGGAAAACCAATTCAGGTGTGAGTTAAAACTCACTTAGCATTCCCATTAGAATAAACATTTGAAAAAATAATTAGCAATATCACATGTTACCATGGACAGTGGGCAGCTGGTACCCATAAAATTCTGGAATGCGTGTGTGTGGGGGGAATATAAATTTGCAAAACCTGTTGGAAAATGTATACCACAATATATTCTTCATAACAGTCCCAAATCAGCACCAATGTGAAGGGTCCAAGAAATTAGTCCATCGCAGCATGTCAGCACAGGACGGGCAAAGGAGGCTGAGGTGAAGTACAGACAGAGCACAATGTGAGATCCCACTCAGAAGAGGTTAGAAAAGAGGTAATATGCACGTTGCATGTTATAAGCCTGGAGAGCACTCAGTATGAGGGAAGGCTGTGCTCGAAGCTGACTCACGTGCTAGTCACACACAGGAGTTCACACTTGAAATTTCCATCTAAGTGGTTTATTTGTGCTTTGTAGCTGTAGGTTTTAGTTCAACAAAATTTTCCATTATAGGAAGGGAAGCATAAAATGAGGTTAAGAAAGGGCAGTAAGAAATTAGAACCGAGTTAAAGCCTAGTTTTAGGTTACTTCGAAAAACATGTAAGCTCCACACTGGTGAGTTCAGACTTTTAAGTAACTAATAGCACAATTATATTGTGCTATTTTACATAAGGCAAGAATCTCAGAAATGCTACGTTTACACCAATAATCAATGCATGACTAATCTAATACATATAAGGTGCCAAGAAGAAAACTCTAAGTTTTAAATTTAATTTTAGTAATGATTAGTTATATAAAACTGTACTTTTTATCGCTAAAGTAAGAATAAAACTCAGGTTTTGCTTGTTGCTGTATGTTCCCAGCATCAACTACTTTCAACACAGTCAAGGTTAGAAGGGAACAAAACAGGAATGCTGGAGTGCAGAAAGATACTCTGCAATTCCGAGCTAGGTCAAGGCAGACAGGGACTAACAAAAAATATGAGTAAAAAGCAGAATGCTAAGGGTTAAAAAAGGAAAAGAAACAGAGGAAAGTCCTAGTGACACAAAAGACCCCCGAACTGAACAAAGCAGGGGATGGGACTCAGTCTCATCATTGCATGCCACTGTCCCTGTCTGCATCCCTAGTCACTGCATGCCAGGGGTCCTGTCTGTATCCCTAGTCACTGCATGCCAGGGGCCCTGACTACATCCTTAGTCACTGCATGCCAGGGGCCTTGTCTGCATCCCTAGTCACTGCATGCCACAGGCCCTATCTGCATCCCTAGTCACTGCATGCCAAAGGTTCTGTCTGCATCCCTAGTCACTGCATGCCAGGGGCCCTGTCTGCATCCCTAGTCACTGCATGCCAGGGGCCCTGTCTGCATCCCTAGTCACTGCATGCCAGGGGCCCTGACTACATCCTTAGTCACTGCATGCCAGGGGCCTTGTCTGCATCCCTAGTCACTGCATGCCAGGGGCCCTATCTGCATCCCTAGTTAGTGAGCCAAAAAATGATTGTGTGAGTGGACCAAGCATTTAATACTATTTTAAAGTTAATTTTTGCTGTTGACCACACAGAGAAAGCAAAGTTAACTTAGACTCTTATTCCTGTAATGTTTAAACTGCTATAAATCAGAACAATTCCAGTCCCAATTTCTCAGCTTCTCCCTGCTTTGCCTCTCTTGTCGACGAGAAGCTCATAGATTGGATGTGACTGTCAACATTTTTAGGTGATAGTGCTGGTCGGGAGAATGCATATATTGATGAAGGCTGTGTGTATCTAAATAGATTTTAACCCTGAGTTTTCTGGCTCAATCATCCTGGAAGTTTTCTAATTAAAAGTTTAACCTTAAACTCATATATGTCTGTCCCCTGTCTTCAGATATGGGGGAAAATTCTAAACAAGAAATGCTTTTCTTTAGTAAAGGAATCAGATGTTTAGAAAGGCTTATCAAAAGCCTAAGTTTATCATAAAGAATAAAAATATTTCAAACTTGTATTGCTTTATATTCATTTTAGTCTTAGAGGTAGAGGACAAATAAATAAAACAATGTGTGTTTGTCGCGTAACTCTGAAAATACTTTTACTTTGTAGGAGAAACGCTGACTCATACATGTGCTGGAGAGAGCAGAGCAGATGTTGAAACATTCCTTCAGCCTTTGCCTGATCTCTCTCTGGCCTGAGGAGTGATGTGATCAATGAGTTCACATTCAGATGGACCCCAGCTGCTGATAAACCATGGAGTGGCTTTATTGCAGTAGTGGCTGAGTCTTGGGGAGCGATCTTTACTTGCCTAATTTCTATAGTAGGGGTCCTCAACTTTCCTAATGCTGTGACCCATTAATACAGTTCCTCATGTTGTGGTGACTCCCAACCATAAAATTGTTTTTGTTGCTACTTCATAACTATAATTTCCTACCATTATGAATTGTAATGTAAATACCTATGTTTTCCAATGGTCTTAGAAGATCCCTGTGAAAGGGTTATTTGTGGTTACAACCCACAGGTTGAGAACCCGTTCTTTTAGAGCGAGGCTAAACATTTGTAATTTTAGCCAACAGCAAGCAATTGAGAGGTGATTTCTATTTATTTACTTATTTCTTTCAATTTGAAAACACATTTTCTCTTCTCAGTAAAGTGGACCATATCAGAGGCCACCCACTCTGCCCACACATAACAGAAATATGAAAGTATTGTAAAGGTTTAGTGAGGTTGAAAAGGAAGTGAAAATCGATACCTCCGGTTTAAGAAGAGAAGGTCTCAACAGTTGATGCTGCCAAAGGAAATCAAAACAGGAAAAGATTTAGGTAATAATTCAGATGGGAAATGTAGAATACGATTGAGAGGAATAAAGGCAACAGCTTGAACCTGTCACTTAAGATATGACTCATTATTCACATGACAGCTACCAAACTATTAAGTAATATTTTAGATAATTACTTGGGAACATAAGGTATATAAGAAGTCATTTGTTTTAATTTTGGTTACTTTAATTAACAAATTTATAATAACCTTAATAACTAATACCCATAAAGATATTTTTTGTCTAAGCGCAATAGTATCAAGGATTGCTTGGGCTTCTAAAAATAAATAACACAGGGTTATTTTGATAAGCTTAATCTTGATTCAAGTTGTTTATTATTTTACTTCCCATCACATTAAGTCTAATACATCCACTAGGAAGACTAGGAAACTGGAGTAACAAGATGCAGTATCTTTGGGATTGTATTTAAGGAGTGGTCCTCATTCCTCCATTTTTTTTTTTTTTTTTTTTTTTTTTTAGAAAATAAAATATGGATGGTTCACATTCAAGCATGTTTTCAAAGTCTTTTGTGAGTCAGGAAATTGTCCCTCCTCCAATTTTGTAGGGCCTCTAGCTTGCCTTCTTCCCCTTTTACTCATTCAGTGAACTGTGACAAAGTCCTTATCTGTAGCTTTCATGATAATTTATGCTTCAACTAGATGGGAGCAATTCACTCTATCAGTGCATTTTGGGAGTAAATTGTTAAATGATGAATCTTCCTGTATGCACTGCGAAGGTAGAAGACAGCTCTGGAAGTGATCCTGTCTGTGAACCAGCTGCTCAAAATGAGCATTTAGACATGTTGCTCTTTGAACAGGAAAGGAAGTTTAGGGTAGAGACTCTAACTCACCTGCCATCTGTTATGATCATCCCTGAGAACTAGTTCTTCATATAGGTCATGAGTGTGATTCTACATAGTCTAGAATAAATACAATCTGAAGTATAAGCTATTTAGAGAATATATTTCCCATCCTTCTTTGGATTGAGAAGCTGTGTACTAAACCAAACTAGGTTTCCAGTAACTTTGCTGACACCATCACTCACAAATCTCATCCAAGACTATTGGTTAGAATCCTCAGAATGTTCTTTGTAGGCTGAGTCAGAGGAACATAATAGAAAACTCAGAGATTTCTAATGTTATGATTGACTTATTAGATATTTAAGATAGTTGGACTAGATAGAACCCTAGACTGTTTTTTAGAGAAAAAAATGTTAAGTAATTTTACAGCTCCTGAATTATATCTATTGAACCAGAAAACCCAACTTAGCATGCCATCACAGTCCCAAGTAGTTACAATTCAGGACAAAGACATCCATTTTTGTTTACACCCTGATTGATAGACTTAAAACTCCAAAGTAAAGAAATAGAAAGGAAATGCATTAGAAAACATCATTAAAAGTTTTGATTGAAATAAAAGAAGGTAAAACTAGCTTCAAAAGAACCAGTATTTGTCCTATATAATTATACAAAAGCTTTCCTTGAAGGCTTGGTGCTGTACCACATGATAAGGCCCTTACCTCTGGTGCAAAGCCTCCCCTGAAAGGCAGAAATGGAAACTTGTATTAAATGCATGGATTTTCAGACCAGAGAGAATTATAGATAAGGACCATTTAAGGGAATCAGAGGAAATATGATAAATTTTTACTAAAACTTGTCTCACTGGGGCATACCTCCTATAATATTATTAAGATGAGGAGATTATGAGTCAGGTCTGAATGACTGAAAAATTATTTTCACAGATCTTGCTCTCATATGACCCATTAAGCACATCCATTGAGCAGGTAAAGACATTGCCACACAGCCTGATGAACAGAGTTCAAACCCCAGGACTCACACAATGAAAGGAAAGAATTGGCTCTTGAAAGTTTTCCTCTGACCTATATCTACACACAAGTTATGGTCCATATGTTCCCTACCCCCATGCATGCACATACACCGAAGACATAAACCTGAAAATAACTTAAAAAGAAGGTGTAATAATTCATTTTGATTCTATTATGATCAACAGGCATAAAGGTATTCTGTGCTGTCTCTTGTCTTAGTCTTGGCATGAATAATAGGTTCACTGAGGTAGAGATGCTTCTTAAACAGAAAATCAGGTAGGTATGTCCATACTCAGATTATATTCCGCAAAGTGACTGCAATTCTTTTGTCTGTGTCAACTTGATTCTAACAACAATGAAAACAAAATAATGACTACCTCCCATGAGTCAATTACATCATTAGAACTAAAGTGAAGAAGGTTCTAGAGATTTAACTTCCAAGTATTCAAAACTATAAAAAGGTAAGAAAAGTTCACGGATCACAAGTTGTTCTATATTTGACGGCACTTGAGAGGGACAGGGGAGTGTAACAATATGGGTGTCACTAATTATGAGACTTTTCTTTATGTGCTGTGTATTTAGTCAATAGGTTGATGCTGTTAACCTTGAGTATACAACAGTGCTGAAGAGATGTTACTGAGTTAAAGGCACAGCTTTCTTTTTTTTTTTTTTTTTTGGTTTTTTCGAGACAGGGTTTCTCTGTGTAGCTTTGCGCCTTTCCTGGGACTCACTTGGTAGTCCAGGCTGGCCTCGAACTCACAGAGATCCGCCTGGCTCTGCCTCCCGAGTGCTGGGATTAAAGGCGTGCGCCACCACCGCCCGGCAAATTTTTTTTTTTTTTTTTTTTTTTTTAAGGCACAGCTTTCTAAGGTACAACTAAAGTATCTTTGCTGAACACAGGCAGCCATAATTCTACAGCAGTGGTTCTCAACATGTGGGTCACTACCCCCTCTGGGCATCAAACGATGCCTTTCACAGGGGTCAAACATCAGATATTTACATTATGATTCATAGCAATAGCGAAATTACAGTTATGAAGAGGCAACAGAATATTTTGTGGTTAGGGGAGGTTCACCACCACACGAGGAACTGCATTAAAGGGTCACAGCATTAGGAAGGTTGAGAACCACTGCTCTACAGGATGAGTCTACATATCTAAATGTGCCTTAAATGGTTACCCAATAGCTTGGTGGAGCTGCTGGTTATGGGGCAAGTACAATGTGAAGTAATCCTCAACAGTTTAATTTCTGAAAGTTTCTGTAGTGAATTTTACAGTGTTTAATTCACTTCTGCCAATACAACATGGCTATCACAACCATTCTGATTCTTGTAAAACTTTATATATACATATTCAAATGTACTCCATTGTCTTTTAGAGATAATAAGACACGGCTCATACTTAGGACTTAATTCTGTTGATGGCACACATATCAGGTACTATATCCAGACAAATTTTACTTTCTAGGATATTTTAATTTTTTTCCTTTTATTAAATATGCAAAAAATCCAATATCCTGGTTTAGTGGCTCCTAGCTACAACCCCAGCCCTTGGAAGGCTGAGACAGGAGAATTGGCATGAGTGTAAGGTCAGTGTGGACTACATAGTGAGTCTGAAGCCATTGTGAGTTATGTGTTCAAGGTGACAGAGCAAGATCCTTTCTCAAAAGTAATCACATACACACATGCACACACACACACACACACACACACACACACACACACACACATTCTGGTGTTTTCATTGGGTAACTATACTGCTATTTGAGCTCCAAGGTGGAAACTTGCCCACAAGAGGTATTATAACACAATCAATATTCATAATTATTTGTGCTCTTTCAAAGCACGAATGTTGATAATTTTAAAATCAGTCAAATAATATCAATGCGTCTTTTATGTAACCCTATTACATTGTGTGTAGCCATCACTTATTTGACATCCTACGTCTGTATACATTTAATTTTAATCATGACAAAAATGTGTGACTAATGTTTTCCTTGAATTTTAAATAAGCCATGCAGTCATCCTTTATCCATTGGGCAGACCTTAACAAATGCAGAGGAAAGGATGTCCTTTTCATACGGACAGGTGGGGAGCTTGGAGCATTTCAGAGGGGAGCAGCATTTAGGCTCATATATCTAACTAACCTTTCTAGGGCTCATGTAGAAGACGTTTTAACTGACTTTCAGCAACACCCTATCAGAATCCACCACATAGCACAAGTTCTCAAGCATGTATATGACCAGCTGCCAACAGAAACTCCAACTGAAGCTTTTCAGTGAAAGAGATAAACAAAACAAAACACATCCAAGCATCCCAGGATGTAAATTACTTTTGATTTGGAGGGAAAGTATCTGAAGCAGATGGGCTACCGAGAATAAGCAGACTTGCTGCTGATTTTTTTTTTAATCTGTCTTTGTTCATCAGGAACGAACATTAAATTATCGAAGGGCTGTCTCAAATTTTAAGAGTCAAAACTCCAAAACCACGAAGCAAACAAAACAAAACAAACAAACCAACAACCCATTTCAGAGATGACACACTAGCATTTGTCTCAGGCTTTGTGGACACGCAGAAGTAATGCCAAGCTTTTAGCCCTGGCTGGGACACTTCAGGAAAATATCCGCTGTTTCCTTGAAGTCACAGAAGCTGTGGTGGCTGGCTCAGCTACTCTCCTGAAACACTGCATAGCACTATTTTAGAGCTGTGCCTTTCTCTGCTTAAGTTATGTCTTCTCAAATACTACAGTTCTAGAGTTCAACAAATAAAGGAATTTGTTTCAAAAGTTGGGATTTCTAGTAGTTAAATTTTATTCATTGTGTTTCAAGGGGAAAAAAGTCATGTGTCTATATATGTACACATGATTAAATTGAATGTGTATGCTTCATGAAGACAGTTGTGCTTAGCTTAGCCTTGATTCCCCAGAATTCAATCTGTTGAGCTCAGGAGTATTTTAACAGCTACTGCAACTACAAGACTTTCTTCCCACAGGATAAGTCTTTATCTTTGTTCTAAAACAAGGAGCAAACACATGAGCATAGAGGTGATAATTCACCAAGTATAATCTCTCTTCATTTTGAATGGGATTTTATTTCATTTACTAAATCAATTGGATATCAAAGAACATTTTCTTGGGAGGAAGAATCCTAAAATTATAATTAAGGAGATGATGTCATAAAATGAAAAGGCTAAATTAAATAGCATTTTAGGCACCTTTGATAAAAATAAGATGTCTTACAAAAGTCAAGGGCATGAGATTTATTTTCATCATAAAGAAGGAAACAGAAAGCACCAAGATAAAGGAATAGAACAGCAACTGAAAAATGGGAAAGATTTATCATCTGAAAGCATACTAACAAGATTAAAACAAGCCAGAATGGAGGGTAGCATAAGAAAACCGATAACTACATATTATAGCACCTGAGATTGATTTGAAATCCCTGCTGTCTGTCATTCCCTACATTTCTAAGGAACATTTTACCTGGGAAACATTTCTTTTTACCAAATACATAGACTTCAAGAAAATAACAAGCCCAAGAGAGAGCACTACTGCACGAACAGCCTGCTTTTTCTGTTTTCCCCCACTAGAACATTCACATAAAACTATGGTCAAAAACTTAAGAAAAGTAACATCGCCCATCAACAAAGTCAACAAGCCTCTGGTTTTAGTTGGATCAGTACTTTTCATGCCCATATCTCCCCGATTAAAAACAGATAAAGTTACTTACTTTTAAAATAAATGTAGGACAAATAATGCTACCTTGAAGTTAAAGAAATTAAGGTCAATCTACTCTATGAATTAGTGAAGATGATGTTAATTTAAAATTAAAAGGGTGGAAGAAAACAGCATTGCATTGAGTTTGGGATTAAAACAGTGGAATCTTCTTTGACGTTCAAATTCTCATGTTCCACTTGAGGATTATGACCAAGTAAAGAATTGCCCAGTTGAAACAGGAGAAGCGACATTACAAAGACGTTGATTGGCTGTGAAGTTGCACGTCAATTCCCTCAACAACCCTAACCAACGTTTCCTGGCTCTGGTCACATGTGCTTTCCAGGTCTGTTTTTTCTGGAGGGCAAAACGTGTGTAGTTTTGAGATATCTGTGGGTGGGCAGTTTTTTTCTATGTGACTGTACATGTTAGACACCGACTTCTCCAGTTCTGCTAGGTTTTTCACATGTCTGAGGACCCCCTTTGGGTGTTTGTGAGGTTCCACGTCACACAGCGGTTTGGATGCTGGTGGCTGTGTCGTAGGAGATTTAGTTTCTCTGGCGTGTGCGACACTGGCAGTGCATTTAACAGCTGGTATACAAATGCTGTCCGTGGGAGGAACTGGGGTTGAAGGAGGCAGTGGGCAGAGACGTGGAGCTGGCGGTCGAGGAAGAGGAGGGAGCGATGGTGGTGGAGGTAGAGAAGACGTACGGGGAGTAGATGTGGGGAGAGAAAATGTAAGAAGCTGGGGAGGAGGAGGGTTAGGAGGAGAGAGGGGAAGAGGGAAAGTGCTAAAGGCAACAGGAGGTCGAGGAAGGGGAGGCCGTGGAAGGGAAGCAGGGATGTTAGGTGGATGGGGAAGGTTTTCAAAGGAGTTCCTTTTTGTTTCTGGGTCTAACATACAAGTGGGGGTCTCTCTCTTAAAGCCTAGAGAATTTAAAACACAGGGTCTCGGAGGAGGAAGTTCCAAGGTGCAGTCAGGAGGAGAAGCGACAACATTCGGTTCTGACCGGAGTTCCACAGCTCTTGAAATGGTTGGCAGAGTTGAGAAGGAAAAGTGAGACCAGGAAGAAGAAAAGGAGGAGCCGGAAGAAAGAGATTTCAGCTGCTCTGTTTGCTGTATGAGTAGGGCGTCTCTATGTCCCCTTTCTTTCTCTGACCCGTGGGCATCTTCGGTGGTGAGCAGTGCATGGCTGCTACCTCTCTGACTTGGGTGGGGCCCAGTGCTTTCGCATTCAGCTTTCTGCCTGGTGATCTGCCACTCCACCAGGTCAATGGTCTCTGGTCTGTTGGGAGCTTTCCACATCAGCCTCCTAGGAAAACTCACAGACTGATTCCACATCCTCTGAATCTTTTCTCTTGGGCCCCTCAGCGACTGACTCTTAACTTGGGTTCTGGGTGAAAACAGCTCTTTAAAATCTGCTTTTGGTGAAAGGTCAGAATTGGTTGACCTTTGGCCTATACTTTCCATATAAAAGGGATTATGGGTACTTAAATCATCCTCATCAGGAAGAAATGAGAACGTCCTTGCTGGATGAGGCTGGCTGTCCTTAAGTGGTCCCTCTACATGAGCCGGCTCATGAGACTCAGTGGTACTGGAAGAAAAGGCCATCCCATCGTGATGACTGGTCCTGTCTTCTGGGACTGAGTTATTTCCCCTGCTTTGTTCAAAATGGTAGAGAAGGAAAAGACTTGAAAGAGAAGAAGGAGACAAGTTGTGAAATAGCTTTCATAAGAAAGGTGTTCTCACGGCTATCACTCTATTTTATAATACAAAGGCCTAACAATGCTACATCACTGAGGTAGAACATCATCACTTTCAAGATCCTAGTCTAGAAAAGACAGGGTAGGGCCATCCAGAGTGGGGAGAGGGATGAGAAGTTTTCATTTAAATATCAATCTCTAGACTGCCCCCCCACCATGAGTTTGATATAGCAAAATATCTGGTTCCATATCTAACAATTTGCTCCTGTATAAACCATAGTTTTGGAGAGTGTGGACAGGCACCTCAGTTTTTTGTGTACCCCACCAAAAAACCTCAGCTTTGATTTTGCATCCCACCTTGCTCAGAGACCACTGTTATGCATGGGGTCTTGGCAGTATCTCAGTTAGCAATTGTCCATTACATTGTATCACAGTAACTCTGGGAGCTAAATATAGCCTCCGATATAAAACAAAATTTGTAAGACAATACAGAAAGGGATAACTCCTGTCCCAGTTTAGAATGACAGTTTCCAAAGACAGGATGGAAAGTCCTCAGAGAGTCCAAAGGTCATAGCTGAGACATCAACTTCATGATACAATCCTGAACTAAAATGGTTTCTTCCCATTTAAATTCTATGCTTAATTATTTTAAAATACAGAAAATACAAAAGGGGAATTTACATTTTCTGCAGATATAATGTGGGTCAAATTTTAGTCAAGATTCCCCTTAATGAAAATATTTATGTTAAAATAACATGGGTTTTGGTATCACTGTATGGTTTGCTCATGCATGAATACAGAGCAAGTGCCACAAGTAGGTGTGCATTCTAACTAAAGTTAAAAACATCTCAGAGCACTAATCCAAGGCCTGAACTACAAGCATTGGGACCTTCCTTCTGAAAGGCTAGGTAACATGTACTTTACGTAGCCCCTGATTAAGTTTGCCCTCAAGCTAAAGCATAACAGCAAATTAATTTTGTCAGTTGTTTAGTGTTTGACAATAAAACATATATAGGTATATATTTTAATATAAAGTAAAATATAAATATTTTGAAAAAGCAATAGTTATTTGGAATGGAGTAATAGATTAGGCAATAAAATGACATGTAAGTTTGAAATTTGATGACAAAAACAGGCATACTCACAATGGGCCCTGATTATCAGCCAATCTGAGTAATTTAGAAAGTATGGACAACTGGACCAAAATCAGACAACAAGGACTTTTGTCTTTCCTACCCTTGGAAAGCTATTTTAAAAGCACATCAGATACCATTTAACTTGATATTATATAGCCATTAGTTTTGGAAGAAGTGATCTATGTCATCATAGATGACACCTATAATCAAAAGAACTCTGTATCTGAAGTAAGGATGAAGATACTTTTGAAACCTTCCCTGGTGTCTATGAGCACTGTCACATCAGCAGGAAACTAGGCAGAGAGGATGAAATAATTTCCTTTTAAACACAAACGCCTACATCATGACAGATGAGGACCAGTGTGCAGACAATAATACTGCTCAATCCATCCCCTGCATCTACTTTCTAGCAGCCTTTTATTAGAATGATATTATTTACTTACTTATGCCTATGTGTCCACAGGTGAGAAAGAGAAAACATGTGGCAGGGGAAAAAAGTTTTAGCTGTCATTAATTTGAGGCGATTATGCAATACTCACAGACACTTGCTTTAAACAATACACACATCCAAGAGAGAAAAATGCATGTTTTAAAATTTTTTTCTTTCCATTTATTCATGAGAATAATATCTAATAATGTTTCAGATAAAACCTTGTGGCATTGAATCCAGTGTCTTATCCTGTAGGATTTTTATCTAACAATCTGTTTGCTGTTGATATGTAGAATTTATCTTTGTGAAACATGGGTTATCTTAATCATGAAACAGAAATTTTCAATAATACCAAGAATCATGACTGTGTCTTAACTTTAAAAACTGGTTAGTGTACACTATATTAGGTAGATGGTATTGGGTTTGGGGAAGAAAGAAAATGTATCAAGTACTAGATGAGTATTGTTATAGAGTGTTAAATTTACATGAAGTTATTAATTACTATGTGAAGATTTGTTTTTTTCCAAAATTGTTTTTTTTCTTTAAAAAAAATAATTGGTAATAATTCCCTTGGAGCTGGTTTATTTTGTAGCTTGCTACAATCCTTATAAAAAACATTTTCATTGAAAAATGAAGCATTTCTAAAAATGAGATAAGGTTCAGAGTTAAAATGTTTCAGTACATAATTGAAAAATCTATTGCAATTCTTCTAGTGCAAATAGCCCTTAAAGACTGTGAGCTGAAATTTACCCTCCCCAAACTCCACTGACTGCAGATACTGCTGCATTCAACCTGCCTTTGTAAAAGTGGATCAGCTATTGTTCGCATATGTAAATCATGCCAACTTCACACTAAGGCTTTTTTTTTTTTTAATCTGAACATTGTGGCTGGGGAGCTGCTCAGTATAATCAGAGAATCAACTCATGTTGGCTCAATTCCTACTTCACCAGTAATTCAATGAGGGTGATAATTGTAGACTATGAAAGAGGTGGAAACACACACTTAAGGAATGAATCCTGTGTGCAAATAGAATGCTGTGCTGTAAATTTTGCTTTAACTTCATCGTACATAGGATGTATATACTGCCTATTAGATCTTATGTATTACTTATATTTATACAACACTAAAGTGGCACCCATATACATTTTACAACTTCATGTATACTATTACTAATACTGCATATACTATTCATGCATCTGTCTAAACTGGTTTTTCCAGTAGAAGTAATTTTCATGATTTTTGAGACTTGCTGTACTATTGTGAGTAAATGCTAGAAACATAAAAGATACATGGTTTTAGTCACTAATAATGAAGTTTCCTGAGTTTAGCTCTCTTCCAAATTGTATAGCATACTTGGTTGCTTATCATGCCCCAAGGTAGTTAGTTGCTCTTAAAATTTCATAATAAATACAAGTTAAATCACGTCAGACTGTGTGGGTTGGATCATTTGACAGAAACAGTTGTGAAGTTTCAGGCATACATTAACAAGTTCTGTCAAAATGTCTGGCTTAAAATTGCTTAAAATTCAATAGGGCAGAGGTGGTGACCACAGCTGCCTCTGAGCAGTACAGTGAGCAGACTGTTCAGGGCACACTGTGCCATCGAATAGTTCAGATTGAAGTTTTCCTTCATATAATATCCTACAACAGCATCTTAAGAATGTCTGATTTTAAATTACAGAATTTGGTTGTGATTGCCAAATTGGAGGGTTTTTTTTTTTGTTGTTTTTTTCTCCCTCATCTCAATCCAAGAATTACCATCTTACCATTTGGATTTACTAAAATCTCCTACCTGGTTGCTTTTTTGAAATCTATAATTTTGTTCAGGGAATCGTCCCAATATCATCAAGATTGGGAGATTAAATATAATGTCCAAACTCCATTCTGCAGTTGTGTCCTAACATGGATATCGCTTTTTTACAAAATATATGTTTTTCTGTAATTTTCTTATTTTTTTCCTCTTGATCTGTTTGCCTTTTATTTTTGGCTACAGTTTTCCAACTTAACTTTTCAACTATTTTTGACTTAATAATAAATGGTAGCGTGTAAGTGTAATAGACTTACAGCTGCATTTCTATACAGGCTTGGAACTAACTTCACTCAGAGCATCCACCTCACCCCAAAGCAGCCATTATTCCCCTCTGTTACTCACATGGCGCTCTCTCCCAGCTCCTCATAGAGATGTGCCCCTGGGGGTGGTGGCGGTGGGGGTGCGGCAGGTACAGGGGCTGCAGGCTTGGCAGCAGGCATGGCAGACTGGATTCTTGCTGTCTTGGTGCACTCAGCCTGGCGTCTTGAGTAGAGTAAGGGTGTCTTGTGAAACTCAGTTTAGAAACCACAAACTATCAACAGGCTATTGTTTTAATAACGAGGTCTGATATCAGCGGGACCCACTTAAATTATTTACAAATATTTGAACTAATAAACTGATATAACAGAACAGCCTCATGGTCAATATGTAAACAGCTGCTCCTTGAATAAACAATAGAATTCACAGAAATATTTTCAAATTAAGTTGATTTCTACTAATGTCCATGATACAGGTGTTAGAGGTGATCTGTGGTTTTAAGTGTCACAGACAGTATTCAATGTCTTTCTTAAAATTGTAGAAATGATTAGAACACCCCTTACCTTTCATGTTACTGTTATAACAAAGGGTCTAAAATCAGCTTACACACACACACACACACACACACACACACACACACACACACACACACCTCAAAATCTTAAGCTCAAATAAGTGCTAAGAAAATAACGCACAGTTCAGGATGGTATGGCTACTTGATCAATAGGATCTGTGATTTCTCATTTTCTATTACATAAATTCATGTGCAAAAATATTCATAATTATACTTACACTTTAAACCTGTTTTTGGAAAGCAGTGTGTAAGAAGAAGAGAGAGTGGCATTAGAAATACTGTACTCATGGCTTTATAATGTGATTTGCTGTAAATTATGAACAATTTACTGATTAATCTCATAATGTCACAGTAGCAGGGAAAGGAAGGACTTTAATTTGATGAGTGAATTAGAAGAGACTTATAAGTTATTAAAACATTTACCACAAAGAAAGAACTAGGTAAACTGAAGGGAGTAAGAAAAACTGTATTAAAACACAGATCTGTGAGTTTCAATTCTCAGAAGAAAATGGAAACTTGAGGATGACCTGATATTTATAAAAACTTGTTTGTTTAGACCATTGGAGGAATATTGATTTTATTGATGTCAGAATATGATACACTCCTTTGAGGAATAGTTGAATGAAATAGAGAATTATTCCACAGAATAAATGTGGAAATTAACACTAGATTGATGTCTGAGTGATTTTTTTCAATACTGTTTATGAGGAACTTCAGATTTAATATAATAATCAATTGGCTAAGAAAACATTAATCTTAGCTTGTATCAACCCAAATGTTATATTTGCAGTTTCAGATGACCTTTGTTATGAAATTATCCATTTAACATCTTCACTTGGAATATTTCAAGTTTGAACTAACTCATTGTATTCAATTTAATAGAGAATGATTTAGTGATTGAAAAAAAGGTGTGATGACCTAGTTTTGTGTGTCAACTTGACACCCCTGGGAAGAGGGAAACTCATTGAGGAATTGCTTCTATCAAACTGACTTGTGGGTGCTCTGTTATTTTATTTTTTCAGCTTCTCACAAGTTAGCAACATTTGGGAAGAAAGAACCTCAATTGGAAAATGCTTCCATCAGATTGCACATAGGTAAGTCTACGGGACGTTTTCTTGATTAATGAGGGAGAGCTCAGCTCCTGGTGTACGGTGACATTCCTGAGAATGTATGCTTGACTGTCTAAGAAAGACAGCAGCCTGGAAGCAAGCAAGTAGGCAGAATTCCTCCATTGCCTCTGCTTCAGGTCCTGCCTCCAGGTTCCTCTCTTGGATTTCAGTCCTGGCTTCCCTTGGTTATGGATTATGACCTATAAACCAAATCATCTCTTTTTTCCCCAAGTTGGTGTTGATCAGTGTTTTATCACAGCAAAGAAAAGTAAATTAGTAGAGAAAGGTTTCAGTGTAAGAATACATTAGGAACATCTTAATGCTTCCCTGTAGGTATTTTAAATAATGAATAGCTTAGCTTTTCTACCATTTATTTTATAGTGTTTGTTATGTCAAGTATGTATAAAATTTATTGCAGTTGTCCACTATTTACTTTTTGTGGCACCCTAAGGGCTACTTCTCCTTTCAATCAACTCTTCATTTTTTTTTTTAATGGCTGTCAGCCGGGACATATTACTAATTTCTCATACCTGGTATTAGGTCCAATGTATTCCTTGCTTACTTCAGTTGCAGATACTTTAAATACTTAAACTCCTTGACTGCTTCATAGATATTAAATAGTTTTCACATATAGATAATCCAAAACAAGCGTAGTTTACTGTAGTAAGAGAAAAGACTAACTCTATCCAGCCATTGCATTTATGACAAGCTGTACTCTAGCAAGGGTGACGGGAAGAGAGAAGCCACGTCAAAGGCCACAGGTGTGGTGTTGAGAGTACCGCGATTTTGCTAACACTGAATTGTCTTCATAATGGAAAACGTAACTATAAGGAATAAAAGAAACAAAAAATAAAATGAAACGACGGATCAGCTAACATGACCGTATCTGGCCAGGTTAGAGACCCTGCAATCTTTTCCATGAAACTGGGCGAGGAGGGACTCTGCTATCATCTCATACTGCTTTTTCTCTAGGGGATGTTCTCGGGAGCTTTTGACCCACAGAAGTGAACGCACAAAGCCAGGAAGAAAATAGTCCTGTGAGCAAAGACTTTTTAGCAGCAAAGGACACTAAGAAATGTATATAGTCTGCAGTGTTGCGCTTGAGGAAGGCACTTTGGTACAAGTGGGAAAACAGTGACGGAACAGTTACACCATCAACACTTTGCACCACAAAAGCTACTTTCCCAGGTAGCTTCCTGAATACCTTCCTGAGAATATCCGCTTAGCGTCCCCCATACTCACTGTCGGTAGCTCACTAAGACAACCAAGATGGCTGGGATGCAGCAGAGGATGATGATGAAGGCCAAGGCCAGCAAGGCTCCTTCTGTGTACCCTAAGCTTTCTCCTCGCTTCTTGATGCTCGTCACGGCCTCAGGAGTCCGGATCTCCAGAATGCGGCCTCCTTCCCCATAATAAGGCTGGAAGTCTTTATTGATATCAAGCAGTTTGCCGTCCAGGAATCTTGATGGTGAGACAAATGGGAAAACTCATTAGGTTAGAGGAGCGGAGTCAATTCAAAATTAAAATTTATCTTCGAAGTCTTTTGATATTTTGAATTTAGAAAGCAAACTGCCTGTGAGGGTTAGTAGTATTAACTCCAGACCTGGGAAGCAAGCACACCTGTGAGGGATTGTCTAGGTAAAGGTTAGCCTCTGAGAGTGTCTGTAAGGGACTGTCTTGATTACATTGGGAAGGGAAGACCTGCCCACGGTGGGTGGCACTGTTCTTTAGACCTGGGATACTGGATGATACAAAGGGAGATAGTGAACACAGCACTTGTGTGTTGGTTACTCTTCCGACTGTGGATGCACTCTTCACATCCGGCTTCTGTGACTACAATCACAGAGGGTCTATAATTTGATCTTGTGAGCCAAGTAAACTTTCCCCACCCTTATGTTGATTTTATCAGAGTTACTTTATCATAGCAACAAGAAGGGAAACTGCTGATCATGAGTTTACACTATTGATCCCAAAAGGCAAAAGGAAGGATTGTGAACACTGTCACAGTAAATACATATTAAAGTTTAGGGAGATCAACAGGTTTATCCTTATTCATGACAGGATACACAGGAAGAGTGTGAAGTTATGTTTTTATATGCCAATTAAACAAAGAAAAATACAAGCTGAGTATAGTGGCATACAGTGGTAATCCCACCCCCAATCTACTCCCCCTCCATCTCTGATCAGGAAAGAGCAAGTATCCCATGGATATCAATAACACATGGCATATCAAGTTGCAGTAAGACTTAGCACCTCCCCATGCATTAAAGCTGTGCAAGGCGACCAAGAGAAATGGGGTCCCAAACATCTGTAAAAGAGTTGGAGACAGCCCCTGTTCCCACTGTTAGAAGTCCCACAAGAGAACCAAACTACACAGCTGTAACACACACAGAGTGCCCAGGTCAGGCCCATGCAGGCTCCGTGGTGGTCAGTTCAGTCTCTGTGAGCCCCGATGAGTCCAGGCCAGTTGATTCTGTGAGCCTTCTTGTGGTTCCCCTGACCCCTCTGGTTCCCACAATCCCCTCTCCTCCTCTTCTGTCAGATTCCCCTAACTCCACCCAATGTTTGGTCATGGGTCTGCATCCATTTCCATCAGTTGTTGGACAGTACCCCTCTGATGGCAATTGGGTCAGACACCAATTTGGTCACAGGAGATGGCCAGTTTGTTTATATGGTGGATTGCATTGACAAAATCTTCAAATGTTGAACTATTCTTGCATCTCTGCAATGAAGCCTACTCGGTCATGGTGGATGATCTTTTTGATGTGTTCTTGAATTCAGTTTGCAAGTATTTTATTGAGTATTTTTGTATCTACATTCATGAATGAAATTGGTCTGTAATTCTTTTTCTTTGCTGAGTCTTCACTGGGACCTCACAGAGAGAATTTGGCAATGTTCCTACTGTTTATATTGTGTGGAATAATTTGAGGAGTAATAGTATTAACTCTTCTTTGAATAGAAGAAGAATTCTAGCCTGGTAGAATTTTGCATTAAAACCATCTGGCCCTGGGCTTTTTTGGTTGGGAGAATTTTAATTTCCTTAGGGGTTATCAGTCTATTTAAATTGTTAATCTGATCTTGATTCAATTTTGGGAGTGGTATGTATCAAACTTGTCAATTTCTTTTAGATTTTCCAATTTTGCAGCATACAGGTCTTTGGAGTATGACCTAATGATTCTCTGGATTTCCTCATTGTCTGTTGTTATGTCCCCCCTTTCATTTCTGATTTTGTTGATTTGGATATTCTCATTCTGCCTCTTTATTAGTTTGGATAAGGTTTGTCTATTTTGTTGATTTTCTCAAAGAACCAACTCTTTGTTTCATTGATTCTTTGTATTGTTCTCTTTGTTTCTATTTTTTTTTATTTCAGCCCTCAATTTAATTATTTCCTGGCATCTAGTTCTCCCAGGTGAGTTTGCTTTTTTTTTTTTTTTTTTTTTTTTTTTTTTGTTTGTTTTAGAGCTTTCAGGTGTGCTGTTAGGTCGCTAGTATGAGATCTCTCCAAATTCTTCATGAAGGCACTAAGTGCTATAAACTTTCCTCTTAGAACTGCTTTCATTGTGTCCCATAAGTTTGGGTATATCATGCATTCATTTTCACTGAATTCTAGGAAGTCTTAACTTTTTTCTGTATTTCTTCCTTGGCCCAGGGGTAACTCAGTAGAAAGTTGTTCACTTTCCATGAGTTTGTTGGCTTTCTGTTGTTGAAACCATGGTGTTCTGATAAGATATAGGGGGTCATTTCATTAAATTTTACTTTTATCTGTTGAGACTTGCTTTGGGGCTGAGTATATGGTCAATTTTGGAGAAGGTTCCATGAGGTTCTGAGAAGAAGGTATATTCTTTTGTGTTTTGGTGAACTGTTCTGAAGATATCTGTAAGGCCCATTTGAGTCATAATGTCTGTTAGTTCTGTTATTTCTGTTTAGTTTCTGTCTGGATGACCTGTCCATTGATGAGAGTGGGGTGTTAAAGTCTCTCACTATTATTGTGTAGGGTTCAATATCTGATTTAAGCTTTAGTAATATTACTTTTACAAATGTGAGTGCCTTTTCATTTGGGACATACATGTTCAGAATTGAGACATCATCTTGATGGATTTTTCCTTTGGTGAATATAAAATGCCCTTCTCCATCTCTTTTGATTAATTTTGGTTGGAAGTCTATTTTGTTAGATACTAGGATAGCTACACCGGCTTGCGTCTTTGGTCCATTTGATTGGAAAATCTTTTTTCCAGCCCTTTACTCTGAGGTACTGTCTATCTTTGATGATGAGGTGTGTTTCTTGTATACAGTAGAATGATGGATCCTGTTCTCATATCCAACCTGTTATTAGCCTGAGTCTTTTTATTGGCAGGTTGGGTCTATTGATATTGAGGGATATTAATGACCAATGATTGTTAATTCCTGTTATGTTGTTGTTGGTAGTGTGTGTGTGTGCGCGTGCGTATGCATATGTGTGTGTGTGTGTGTGTGTGTGTGTGTGTGTGTGTGTGTGTATTTCCCTTCTTTGGGTTTTGCTGGTGTGAGATTATCTATTGCCTCTGTTTTTGTGGGTGTAGTTAACTTCCTAGGGTTGGAGTTTTCCTTCTAGTACCTTTTGTAGGGCTAGGTTTGTGAGTAGATATTGTTTAAATTTGACATTGTCATGTAATATCTTGTTTTCTCCATCTATGGTGATCGACAGTTTTCCAGGGTATAGTAGTCTGGGCTGGCATCCATGGTCTCCTATAGTTTGTAAGACATCAGTCAGCCATGGTTTTTCTGGATTTTAGGGTCTCTGTCGAGAAGTTGGCTGTAATTCTAATAGGGCTGCCTTTATATGTTATTTGGCCTTTATTTCTTTGCTGCTTTTAAATTTTTTCTTTGTTCTGTATGTTTAATGTTTTGATTATTGTGGTGAAGGAATTTTCTTTTCTTTTCTTTTTTTTTTTTTTTTTTTTTTTTTTTTGGTTTTTTCGAGACAGGGTTTCTCTGTGTAGCTTTGCGCCTTTCCTGGAACTCGCTTTGGAGACCAGGCTGGCCTCGAACTCACAGAGATCCGCCTGGCTCTGCCTCCCGAGTGCTGGGATTAAAGGCGTGCGCCACCACCGCCCGGCGAATTTTCTTTTCTGATCCAATCAATTTGGTGTTCTGTAAGCTTCTTGTACCTTTATAGGCATGTCCTAGCTAGGTTGGGAAAATTTTCTTCTATGATTTTGTTAAATATATTCTCTGAGTTGTTGAGCTGGGTTTCTTCTCCTTCTTCTATTCCTATTATTCTCATGTTTGGTCTTTTCATAGTGTTCCAGATTTCCTGAATGTTTTGTGCTAGAAAGTTTTTAGGTTTAACACTTTCTTTGACGGATGAATCTACTTCCTTTATTGCGTCTTCAATGCCCGAGATTCTCTCTTCCACCTCTTGTATTCTGTTGGTGATGCTTGCATCTGTATTTCTGTTTGCCTGCCCAGATTCTCCATTTCCAGGATCCCTCCCTTTGTATTTTCGTTATTGCTTCTATTTCCATGTTCAGGTCTGGAACAGTTTCCTTTATCTGTTTGCTTGTTTGTTTTTCTTGGCTTGCTTTTAGGAATTTATTAATTTCTTCCATTTTTTTATTTGTCCCCCCCCCCCCAATTTCTTTAAGGGATTTGTTTATATCCTCTTTAAGGGCCTCTATCATCTCCATAAAGTCATGTTTAAGGTCATTTTCTTGTGTTTCAGCTGTGTTGGCTTGTTCAGGTCTCGCTGTTGTAGGATAGTTGGGCTGTGGTGATACCGTATTGGTTTCTAATATTGATTGTGTCCTTACACTGGCATTTAGGCAGTGGAGTGGTCTAGGTGTTGATTCTTGCATTTGTCTTTTCAGATGGGTACTTTGTTCCTTGATTTCTCATTCCTTTCTGGTCTTCTGGCCTAAATGGCCAAAGGTTCTGGTGACTAGCATGCCTTCAGGTGCATTAGGATGTCCCTTCTAGGGTTTGGGGGAGGGGGGTTCCTAGATCCTACATGGCCTCTGGTAAAGCTGAAGTCTTCCCAAAGTTGTAGAGCAGGATATGGAGCCCAGAGAAGGGGTGGCAAACTGGGGACCTTAGATCTGGTCTTGCCTCTGGGGTCCCTAGGACCAGCCTGGCCTCTGGTACAGCTGCCAACGCTGGGGTCCCTGTATCCTGTCTGTGCTCCAGTAAAGCTAGTCTCTTTTTGACGTTGTAGACCTGGGGTCCCTAGTTCATCCTGGCCTCTGGTAAAGCAGAAGTCTTCTTCCAAAGTTGTAGACCAGGATATGGAGCCATGGGCAGGGTAGGGTGTGTATGTGCAGTCTGGGGTTGCTGGGGGCAGCCTTTAAAGGGGCTTTGTGTGTGATGGGCAGTGTCTTACCTGGGGTTCCTAGGACCAGCCTGGCCTCCCATAGGCTGCCAGGGCTGTGGGCCCTAATATGGAGCCCAGGGGAGGGGATGCAGCTCTGGGGTTATTGGGTGGGTTTCACAGAATGTAAGCTGGTGGTAGGCGGTGTCTTACCTGTGGTCCCTCGATCCTGCCTGGCCTCTGATAAAGACTTCTTCCAAAGTAGTAGGCCAGGATACGGGGCCCAGGGGATGGGGTGCAGTCTAGGGCTGTTGGACAAGCTTAAAGAGATTTAGACACGGTGGGAGGTGTCTTTCCTGAGGTCCCTAGGACCACGCTGGCCTCTAGTAAAGCTGCCAGCCTGTGGGCCCTACTGTGGAGCCCAGGGGTGAGGGTGCAGTCTGGATGCTACCTATTATTTTAACTAAAAAGTTCTACAATATGATATAAAAGAATTAAAATGCTTGTGTCTGTCCTATATCTCCTCTCTATTTTCTTTCTCATATATTAATATAAAAATATATTTTAAGATATATAATATATACTGTATTTTATAATTACATATAATTATATAGAAATTAATAATTATATAGAATTATATAGAACACAATTATATACTATATAAACATGCTCATGATATATAGTATATAATAATAAAATATAGTAATATTTATTTATATATCTATATCTTAATGGGGGTTCATAGCCAGAGACAGATATTATGCCCAGGGCTCTGGTAATAAATTTGCTGATTATTATTACTAGCTGATTATTATTACTTGTTTTCTTTCCTATCTTTGGACCAAAGAACCAACATCCTCAGATTCTTAGAAACTGAGAGAATAACCTGTCCTTGGCTGGGTGTTAAGCAACAATTATAGTATCTTGTTATAATTTTTAAGGCTTAATTTCCATTCCTATAGTTTTAATGTCAATAACTGCATTTTTAGTCTTGGGCTGTGAGTGTTTGTGTTTAGAAATAAGTTATAAAATGTTTATGAAAAATTCATAGGTTTTAAAAGGCTAGTGTTTCTCAGATAGTAGCTTTGGAAAATTCTAAATGCCAGATTTTATCTCTTCAAAAAATTATTTTTGTTTTCCATATCTTTTGTGGTTTGCACTCAGATATTTTATTTTAAATTGCTCATGAATGCAGTTGAAATCACACCCCAATCATTTTAGTCTTTTACACCATTTAACATCTGTAAGACACAGATGTACTTTTTCTAAAATCCTGAAATTTATTATCAAAATCAGAACAAATTTATATAGAAAAGGAGACTGATAGATAAAAAACTATGGAAAGATGTATTAAGAACAACTGTCAGAAAGAATGTATGCACCACCCTGAAAGTCTAGATCAGATTAGGAATTGTGTTTACAAAGGACTTCGTTTTAATTTCTTCCCGACAATGTTCAGGACACTAGGTGTCGCTAAAGTCCAGCAAAAATCTGGATACCGCCTCAGAATTAGAGTAGATTCACAGCCAATGAAAACTATGTAATAACATTCTATTTCAGATTTTAGCCTTTCTCTCCTCTCCTCTTCTTCCTCCTCCTTGTCCTCCTCTTTCTCCCTTTCCCTCTTCATCCCCAACCCCTTTCCTTTCTCTGTGGATTCAGCTATCACATATAATATAGATCTACATGACAGTGATTTTCTCTTATCTAAGCCCTCCTGAGTCAGAAGGACATCAGACACTTTTTTTCCCTCTGTTACAATAGAGTTGTAAGAAGACACAGTTTCTTCCTAACCTTCAAACCTGCTGAAGTCATTGCCAGGCAACCATCTCTACGGTAGTCTGTTTTTCCCTCTTAGCCAGTGTCTTGCATCAGGAGTGTGAAGTGCCTATGACTTTCCTCTGGCTCCTGACTTTATCTGACTCCTGCTGCCCAGGTTTCTGACCTCAGTCCAGCCCATGCAGGACTTGGAAACTACGTGTGAGGATACTATACCTGCCTCTGATTTTACTTTTAACAACATCTCAGTAGCTTTTAAACTTCAATTATTCTTAAGTAAGAATTAGGTATAGATACTACTGTTACTGCATAGCTTACTATAATAAAATAAAAAAAACCCACTTACTTAAAAAGCTCATTTCTGTCGATGGCTCTGTTGGTCTGGGGGTCAATGGCATAGACAGTCAGGTCGCACTTGCTGTAGTCTTCTAGGGAGAAGGCATCTCCATGGCGACGGGCACCTATAGACTCTACCACAACCTTGGCACCAGGAATCTGCTCCTGAACATAGCGATCCAAAATCCTATATATAAAATAACATATAAATATGACATTCTGATGGATTTAGCAAGGATTAAAAAATGGTCTCAACCTGAAATGACATTTAGAAAATGACAGCTGGTTTCTGCTCATGGTTACTATGTGTGAACCATTGGAGAAAGTCTATACTAGGTTTCAGCATTCCACTCTCAATGATGTTGGAGGATGAATAGCTGCAAGAGGTCATCAACCATGTGCTGTTTAAGTCTCGAGTTCTGAATTTATGATATCATTTGAATGTTTGCCTGGCTCATGGGAAATGTCAGCTGTATTGTACACCCTGCTTTAAAGAAGCCACAGGACACTGGGACTCTCCACTCACGCTGCTGGTATCATAAATTGGCACCTCTACAGGAGTAGGTGACACTAGCAACATGCTACAGTGGAGGAATAGGACACCTGTTTTCCCAAGGATATAAAGATCCTCAGAACATGGCCACAATGGAAGAATGTAGACGTGTTTGGTGAGCTTACAAGATTATTCCTTGAATGTCTCAGAAGCTAGTTAGGATAAATATAAAAATTTAAAAGGGGTGTTTTCATCTTCTACAGAAAAATAAATAGTTGGTAGAAAAGAAAGAAATGATGTTAGTCATTAGATCATTTCTTAGAAATTATAACTTTTTCTAGTTCTGTGACTTGATCTTAGTTGAAAACACCCATTATTAACATTTGTTGTTTTCTATATTTCTATAAATAGGGATTTCTTTAAGAACTTCTTTATTATTAAAACATTATATCACTAACACTTGTAGAGAACATTAGAGTATATATTAAAGTCTTATATTTAAATGTAAATGTATTAACAATAACCATACATGTCAATTTCTTTTGAGATAGGGTCTCAGTACACAGCACAGGTTGACTTAAAACTCAATTCATAGAACATAGTCTTTTCGTGCAGAAACCCTTCTTTACCCCAAATACCTTCATTCTTACATCTTTTCAACATATTTTTCTCCAACTTATTGGTTCTCTTTCATTTTATGTTCTTTTATGTAACCGTGAGACATAGAGAGATTAACAAAAATTACCATCCTATTAAAGGAAATTTAAATCCCTATCTAACATAATGTAATAATATTGCCTTCATGCATATTATCACACTATGAGGCTTTGTATGTTCCCAGGAAAACCCCATAGAAAACACAAGACAGTAAAATATCTTTCATTCTCTGTAGAGTTCAGAGAATGATCTACTGTGGTCTTGCTTTTCATTTGGAGTGAGTGCAAACAGCGGATGGGGAGAAGCAAGAAGAGCACAGAGACAGCCAAAGATTCGATCTTAGTCAAGCCCCAAGGGTATGGGGGAGTTTTATAGGCACATAAAAGAGGAAATGTAGGGATTACATAACATATGATATTAAAACCTCTAGGGTCAAAGTTCAACCTACTTAAATCAATGAAATTCTCTTAAATTATTGATCTGTTCATAGTAGCACTTACAAATATTTTGGGTTTTTGTGCAAGCTTTATCTAAATATTATACAGTGGTTAAAAGTGCCAGACTGGCCTAACTGACCTCCTGGATGAGTGGTGACCACAGTTAGAGGCCTATCTAATGTGGATACAGGCCTTAAACAGGAGAACATTCGGCCCTCACCCTCCAAGGTTAACTAGATACCAAGGGACTGTGGGGGCATCTCTAAAACTGTCCTGTAACTCTGGGGTGTCACCTAGCCTATTGTTCATGGAGGCCATTGAGACTTCCTTGGGAAGACTCTTACCAGTATCTACAACATAGGAAATTTTCCTCAGTGCTTTCAAGTGGAGCTGCAGCCAAGCAAGACCCTCAACTCCTTCTCATTCAGACGGAACAACTGGTAAATGGAAACCTAAATGAGTCAGAGGCTCCCTCTAAGCCCCGCTCACCCCTGAGGATCAGATACACAACTGGCCGTAGTAGTGAAAAAGATGGTTAATTTTCTCCTCTACTTTCCTGACTTGAAATACCCAAAAAGAAAGTATAACCAAAGATTCAAATAATTGGTATGTTTCTATAACAACAGTCCAGGGGATTATGCTCCCTAAATATTAGACTTAAATCCATAAGATGTTATTTAGACAACTATTTCTCACTAATGATATTGATTAAAAGAATCCCAGATATAGGGTCCCATGACATTGCCTCAATTCAACACTGCAGCACCTACTTGCTACAAAAAAAAAAAAGATAGGTCTACTGTTACATAAACTTAAAAACCAAATGATGATTAAATGTATGCTTTCTCTTCTTCTCTAGAAGCCATCTGGGAGGGACCTCACACTGCGATTCTAGCGACTCCAAGAGTTTTCAAAGTACCTAAAGCAGATACTTGGCCCAACACTTTTGAATTCAGCCTTTGAAACTAAAGGCAAACAAGGAAGAACATAGGGGAGAGAGGTTTGCCAGCTGTTCAAGAGACTATTACGGTGATACTTGGTTTGTGATCTAACAAATAAAGCTTGCCTGGAAGATCAGAGTGCGGAGCTAAGCCACTAGTTAGCCACAGAGGCCAGGCAGTGGGGGCACACACCTTTAATCCCAGCACTAGGAAGGTGCTGACGGGGCAGAGAAAAGGAATATAAGGCCGGAGGAGATAGGAGTCACTCTCTTTCGGGCTGAGGATTCGGTAGAAGTTAAGAAGTCTAGTGGCTGGCTGCTCTGCTTCACTGATCTTTCAGCATTTACCCTGATATCTGGCTCCGGGTTTATATTAAGACCAATTAGGGTTCGTGCTACAGACTATAAGGGACTTGGATTGGACAATTAATGGACATTCTGTATCCTGGCTCCTCCTGGTTCCCTGCCTTGGAATTGTAATGTTAATGACTCTAGTCTTTACTTTTCCTTCACATCTCTACCTGGGCACTAGTCAAGAATTCCTTTCCTCCCTACACTGGGCTGTCATACAAATATAACCATGATGCATCTTTGAGGGACCCTAGATAGGCCCACTAGAGGGGGGACCCCAACTGCAATGTCTGAAAACTCCACCCAGCAGTATGAAGTCAGTAAGGTCAGTGTCCCAGTTCCTGGAATGGCACCTATGGTTACCTCTACAGAGAGGAGGATAAGAAGGACAGGAGAGAGACAAAGCATGCAGTTTAAGCACAGGGGCCTCGGCTCATGTCCTTGGCCATAAGATGAAAATGTCCTTGGTCTTGTCCTGGCTGGAGGCCAAAAACATCCAGGAGTTTAAAGAATGGACAGTCTTGGTCCTTACATTCCAGTTTGGCAAGTTGGCTGTGGGATCACCCCTTGGAATGGTGGGTATACCTTAGCTGTGCCAAAGAGAATGGAAGACTAAATAGCCCTTTAATGAGATGATGTAAAACTCTTTCCTAGAATTCCCGTCCTCTAAACACAGCAGTTGAGAGAACTTTGCAAGTCTGCTTGCTGTCCTGAATTCTCAGAAAAGCGTAACTCTCCATTTTCTCTTCTCTTCTAAGTATGTGCTTTCTTTAGTGCTCTGGGTTTCTCTTTATCTCTGAAGCCACCCCATCCCCCACACCACCTTGTGACTGGCTGCATATTGACCACATGGCTGGCCTCCACACAGGCTTAACTCAAACCACAAAGCATTTGTCCTTTTCTGTTCCATATGTCTCTTCCAGGAACTTGCTAAGATTTACAGTATTTTTTTTTCTTTAAACTCGAAAAAATTGTCCTTCACGTCCCTTTAGAGTCCATGCTTAATTTTTTTTTTTAATTAACAAGGCTAAGAACCCCAAGAGGGGACCCTGATATCACTAGTAAATGTGATTCTTCCAGGTTTCCTTCACAGGTACACCCACAGTATTCTTCTTGGAGAAACCCACAGTTATACCATGGGTGTGTCTTTCTGTGTGCCCCTCTCTTTTCACACTCATGGTTAAAGTCCCCACTCTATTTCATTAAACAAAACAAAAAACAAATCTTCAGTACAAAACCCATGCAAGCCAGGCATGGATGCACATGCCTGCAATCCTCAAATTTGGGAGGTGGAGGCAGGAGGATCAGAGGCTCAAGGTCTTCCCTGGACAATCTGGTCTATATGAGAACTGTCTCAAACAAAGTGTGCAGCCCACACTTCCTTGAATCTGGTTCCTGCTTTGGTCTCAATAGTGCTGGGATTATTGGTGTGTGCTACCATCCTGGTTAAATTTATCTGTAGATTTAATGCTCCTTTTGGGATATATCTTTAAAGTATTTGAGAGAGCAACATATTTGAAAATATTGGTACATCTAGAAATAACTTTGTTTCAAATATCAAACTGACCCACTTTCTGCTCTATTAAAAATGCATTGCCTTAAGAGTCCGGTGTGTGCTATTTTTGCCCTTATTACAAGAAAAATCAAGATCTTAACTTTGGAAGAAATTTGTTTAACAGTGCCTGCTAGGAGATGCTGCCAATTATAGTGAAATGTTTTGTTTGCTTGATTGATCTTAAACTTTTGTAGGCCAGATGCTTGATGCCTGTCTTGTTAGAGTACTGTTCTCTTTTACATTTATCTCACTCATTAGTTTCTTCACTTTTCCAGGTTCTTTCTAGTGAGACCCCCAATAACAAATAAAACATGGAAGACTCATGGAGAGGAGAAAGTTACTTTCCAAACACTGTGAATATCTGACTACAGTGGCCAGGGATGGATAGGGAAAGGGACCTCAACTAACAACAATATTGATCCGTATTTTAGGATTTTCTTTCTCCCTGAGAGATTTATGCTCACAATAATAATGAAATCTCAGCAGTCATATAAAACACACAAAATATAAGAAGGGCCTCCACATCAAATCACACTATGATTTTGACATTCTGTGGGTACAGACAGCAGTAACATAGCACTGGAACTGAGAGGTTTGGCTTTAGCATTCAATTTTTTTACATATCAGTTGCACAATATTAAAACTAGTGATTATAAGTTTACAAAGTTTCAAGTTCTTTAAATGATATATTTATAATTTAATATGTCAAAATTATTAATTATATATCATATATTAAAATAAAATAATAAAAAAT